GTGGGGGCATGGAGTGGGGGGTGCTGGAGGGGTGGAGGCTGGCTTTGGGCCCTTGCCTCCTGCTGTGTCATCCACTCCCAAGCACCAGTGCTCCAAGTTCTTTTAGGAAACTTGACAACTTGTGCTCTGGTAACCTGTAGGTTATAAAAAAAGCATTTGACTCAGTGCTGCTGGAGAAAGTTTAATTGCCCTTTAAAAGTGGGCTCTGCAGAACGGACTGCGAAAATACACCATGGTGTACAAAGGTACCCCACGCCGGGCTTTTAGATGTGCCTTCGAATCATTTCAGTGTAGACAGATTTATTGGACACCACGTCAGGAAGTTCCTATTCAAAGGGCACCTGCAGAATGATACGGCACAACAAAAATAGGAGAAAAGAATGACTCTTCCCCGCTAACAGAAGGAAATTTCTAGCAGGGTAAGCCAAGCTGAACGGATGTAAAAAACAAGAATCAGTTTGACCTTATCTTTGAGCAACAGAAAACAGTGAACTGAACTGAGAAGCCTGCTGACTTATCTACCATTTTTATGAAATGCATGATCAAATAGCCAACAATTATGCTCAAACTGGTGCACATTCTTTCTTCATGACGTTGTGATGTGAGTTATTGCTTTCCACCCTATCAGTCACTTGGTCTCGCCCTCCCTCACTCCCACATCTACGAGAAGTGATTCACATTTTTGTTCTCATATGATTACTTAACAGTGTTGAACATACTGTAGCACAACCTGCTAACTGAGGTTACTCTTGGATGTCGACTCCTTTTCTGAGAATCAAAATGTACATTAGGAGTTGAGGGCACTTTATGTTTGACTGTGTTCAGGTTTGCCTAATTATCCTAGACTTTATGTCACACATTCAATTTAGAGAACAAAACTAATAGCTGCTGGTAATGCCCATAGATAAAATACTTGCATAATTTTTTTTGATCATATTTAACAATGTAGGGAGTCCAGAACCAGTAATTTGAAAATCTGGTCCTACATATAGCTATGTCATCCAAAATGGCAAGGTAGCAAATCTTCTGGAAAAAAAGAAGGGTTCCTATTTCAAAGGACAGAAAGGGAGGCTGTTACCTGTATCCCGATAGAGAGGCATCGATTTTTCTTAAAGTGATCCTTCTTCCTGTCCTCCGTGGTGACGGTGGCTATGGTGGTCGTGGTGGTGACAGTGGCAGGGTTGTTGCCCATGTGTTGGCTTGCAGGGCCGTGGATCTGGGCATTTGCGGCTTCGATGGCGGCTGTCAGAGCCTTCATACTGTCCAGGCTCTCCGTGGAGTTGCTCAGTCCAGACTGGCTGATAATATCTCCTCGCTGGCCCTGTCCATCCATGTAGGCATCCTGGGCAGACTCTGTGCTACTCTGGGCTGTGATAGAAATGAAAGGTTTCGTGGTAGTTCTGGGTGGGACTGGAGGTGGTGTCTTCTTATATGTTGTAATGCAAGATGACACTGGAAGACAGTGAAAACAAAGACACTGTGATTTCTGCATGGGTTGTAATTTCCGATATTGTAACTGACATCCATTGGAAATTAGGGCACATGAAACACACGAAGAAGACATTTAAGATGAGAACAAGTTTGTTGATAGGCTAAGCGAGATCCCTGCTTAGGGGGGATATTCGGGCCTCCTAAGAGAGGTGACACCCCCCCCCCCCCAAAATAGAGAGGAAAAAGACTGGAAAACACCAACCTCCCAGATGGAAGTTGCTGAAATGGAAATTCATATGAATCGACATAAAATAGACATGATTAGCCTTGTGTAGATTCTTCCCAGGCAACAGTGCACCCTGAGAGATAATATATACACATGCGTAAGTCCACAGTAGTGCCTGCCTTCTCAGCGCAATATTAAATATAGCTAATGTCAAACACGGGAACTCACCAGAGAAGATTCTGATGGTTGGTAATAAACATTGAAAAAAGAAAAGGGAAAGCGAAGAGGTTGTGAGTGTGTGTTCTCATCCTAATAGCAGTACCAAGTGCCTGGGGTGGAGGCGGAACTTTGTTCTGAATTTTTCTGTTGTTGTTTCTGAGCAGAACGACCCACTAAGAGGGAATACACTGTATAAGAGTATCCTACTGTAAAACAAATGTACACGCTAGTTTATACATCAGTGTGTGTGTGTGAGCCTACTCCCCAAAGGGCTGTCCTTCAGGGCGAAGGGATCAACTCAACAGCCTGAATCTGTGCCGTGAGGTGACCCTCCCTGTTTATTCCGGGTCCTCCCTGAGGCTTCAGCTGAAGCAGCCTCAAGACCCTCTCTCCAACATTGTAACTCTGAGGGTCTTGAAGAAGCGTTACCCACTGGTTTTCTGCTTTCCATTTGTGGGGCACAACGTAGGAAAATACAGATCAAAAAGAATGATTAAGTTTCCAGGGGGAATTCCCTCGCAGTGAAGAACAATTCCTTAACCAGCTTCCTAAAGGCTTATTTTGTCCCCTTAAAAACTGATTCAAAACTCTTGTGTTTCCATCACTTTCTCCCCAACCCTGTCTCCCTCCATTCATGCCTTTTCCACTCAGCTGGCCTCACTGTTGTTACCATAAATCAGCTCATCCTGACCATACAATCCTGACTCCCTGCCTATGGTTCCAGCTGCCGCTTGGGCCATCTCGCTGAAGGAAATACTCTCTTCGATATTTAGGATGTTTCCTGAGGCCACTCAAAGGAAGCATCCTATAATGAACAATAAACAGAAGGATCCTATTATGCTGTCCTGCTGTTCCACTGCCCTGTGATTTGGAGTAATTTCCTTAACCATAAAAGAGATAGGGACAGAAATGTTTGGCTGCTTCCCAGGAATTGCCCGATTTGAAAGAAAGGAAGACACAGATGTCACATTACAATATCATTTGTGCTCCGCGGGGTGCGTGTTAATATAAATAATACAAATGTAGCCACCTCTCAGTTACCTAGGATGGATGTCTGGCAGAGGCTCATGCCAGGAAAACCTTCTATTTAAGCTTATTGCATAAAACAAACCTCTTTACATTTGAACAGAGCTCAGCAATAAGCAGTCCCAAGAGGGAATGGGACCAGTGGAGGCTCACAGACCCTCAAGGTGCAGAGCCAGGAGCAGAACCCGTCTGGCCTCAGGTTCTCCCACTCGGCCACCGGGATGCTTCGGGCTAAGTAATGCAAGCCCATGCATTGTTGATGTTTCACCTCACTCAATTTAGTTTCAGGCGCCATAATCACATGGAGCTATTTTCTGCTTCCTAAGAAGGTTTGAACAGGACAGCCCTGCTCAGGCTCTGTCTCTGTCATTCATCTGAAGACGAGAGCCAGTGGGAGGGGGATACTGTCTGTCTATTCAAATCTGATGAAACCAGGTCATTTCATTACCTCTCCTAAGACAAGTCTTTACAACGTGAACTCATTATTTTGTTCAAAATACACTCTCAGGACATTTGGCCCACTAGATTCCAAAGAAACTAAATGCCACATTTTAATATCAAATGGCTGATCTTTCGGATTATTTACTGCTTGTTAGTTACCCTTAATTTCTTCTTTCAGTGTGGATAATCAAAATTGGACAATGCAGCCAAATATAGTATCATTTCATTTGCTGTGATTTATAGCAAAAAGGCTGCCGTGATGTGATGTGTGATATGGAGGTGGAGGGGTCACATTACTTCCAGGGTTGTGACTGAACTTGGGGACACTCCTTGGGGCCAACTGCAATTTGGCGCCATCTGATGGCTATTGTCAGCTCCTCTTCAACATCAATAGGGATAACTAGGTATTTGGCTCAACCAGGACTTGCAGGACAGCAGCAACAATGCTAGAAGTACATGACAGGGAGACGGGACAGGGAGAATACTGGGGACACGACTTCCTCAACAGGCTGGCCCAGCCCCAATGCCCCAAAGAGGTGAGAATTCGAGATTGCCTCACTTCGAATTAGGGATCCAAATAGAGGACAGGAACCAGTGGCCATGGTATTATAGCCCAAGCTTTCTTATGAGATTTTACGGCAGTGTGGAGCTGGGCACAATTCTGCCAGAGTCATACTCAAAGAAGCACCAACTGTCAGTTATCAATAGGAATTTAAAAGGAATTCAAATCTTTAAGATTGCTTTTTTTTTTTGGAGGAAGATTAGCTCTGAGCCAACATCTATCACCAATCCTCCTCTTTTTGCTGAGGAAGATTGGCCCTGAGCTAATATCTGTGCCCATCTTCCTCTATTTTATATGTGGGATGCCTGCCATAGCATGGTTTGATAAGCAGTGCATAGGTTTGTGCCCAGTACCTGAACTGGAGAACCCCGGGCCACCAAAGCAGAGCATGCAAACTTGACCACTGTGCCACCAGGCCAGCCTCAAGATTGCCTTTTGAAGGAGAAGAAAGGAGATCCAACATACTACTCACTTCTCAGAATCCCCTTGCTTCCTTTGCACCAATTCTTTTACATCCGAGGCTGCTCCAGAAACATATTCAAGTAAATCCCCCACTTCTTCCCAGCATCACTCTTTCCCAGCTTTGCAGGCTAAATCCTAAACTCTTTCTTCTCTCCTAAGTTTTTTTTTCTTTTTTCTTTTTTTTTAATTCTACTCTCAGGATTCAGCAGCGTGAATGATTTAGACCTCCACTGAGGTCTGAGTGCCAGGAGGCATGGAGCAGAGTGAGGCTCAGGAGGGTGAAACACAAGTTAATAAATCTTGTCTGGTTAAGACAGAAAGAAAATGAGTGGTAGACAGTAAGTGAAACATGTCATTTGTTGAAGAGTCACATTCTCAGAAAGGTTGGTTTAAACACACAAGAGCTGTGCCATCAGTGGACAAATTGATAAAGAAGACGTGGTACATATATACAAGGGAATACTACTCAGCCATAAAAAAGATGAAATCTTGCCATTTGCAACAACATGGATGGACTTTGATGTATTATGCTAAATGAAATAAGTCAGACGGAGAAAGTCAAATACCTTATGATTTCCCTCATAAGTGGAAGATAAAAACAACAACAACAACAACAAAGAAACACATAGATAGGGGCCAGCCCGGTGATGCAGTGGTTAAATTCACATGTTCTACTTCAACGGCCCCGGGTTCGCCAGTTCGGATCCCGGGTGTGGACATGGCGCCACTTGTCAAGCCATGCTGTGGTGAGAATCCCACATATAAACTAGAGGAAGATGGGCACAGATGTTAGCTCAGGGCCAGTCTTCCTCAAAAAAAATAAAAAGAAAGAAAAAACAAACACATAGATACAGAGATTAGACTCATGGTTACCAGAGGGTAAAGGGTGGGGAGGAGGATGAAAAGGGTAATAGGACACATGTGTACGGTGACAGATGATAATTAGTCTTTGGGTAGTGAACATGATGTAATCTAGAGAGAAATCGAAATATAATGATGTACATCTGAAATTTTTACAATGCTATAAACCAATGTGATCTCAATAAAATAAATAAATAAACCAAAAAAAAAAAGAGGAGAAAAAAGATACATTAGAAGAAATCTCTTGGATAAAAATTTGAAATTTTTTCTCAAAAAAACCCAGAATGCTCTTTTTATTTGAGTAGAACTTGAAAAAGAAATGACTTTGTATTTTGACCATTATTATTGCTTTCCTTGCCCTGATACATTTATCTGTTCATTTTAAATAAAAGGATATTTTTTCCTTCTCTGGTGCTGAGGGTATAGAACCCCAGCTCAAAGGTGGCCCAGAGGGCTCCCAGCTGTCTAGGAGAAGAGTGAGCAGGAGGAGTTCCAGGTTTGAATGGCGTCATTTTCATTGAGATGATACCGCAGAGCACAGATGGGCCAGAGACTGGTTTTTACATTTGAGTTAGGAAGTTATTTAAAAAAAAAGTCACAGAGAAAACAAATGAGAACAAATTCCTATCCTATTTCAGCTTCTAGGTGACTGTTCATTCGATATTGTCTATATTTGCACAGAAAGATAATGCCAGTGTGGTAAGCCTCAGGAAGGCCTGTGCCAGGAATTATTCTTTTCTATTGTGGTAAATGTTTTCCGGAAGCATCTACACTCTCTTATCACTCTGGTGACCCTTTGTGATCAAGAGCACACATGTCAGGTGGCCATAAAACGGAGGTGGGATCAAACATTTTTTGTCAATACGTTCTTGCTGGCTAAGCTAATCAGTCACATACTACAAAGCTATGTTGAGGAATTACTTACCAGTTCTCGGTTACTGATTTTTGGAAATGCTTTCAAATATGAGAACAAGCCCATAAGGAACGACAAATAAAAACATGAACCGACAACAAAAGAATTCCAAAATATGCATATACACAGAGTTGTACAGCAGTCAAGCAACACCTTTTTGATGTCAGTAAGTTATCCTAAGTCGTTAGTAACCACAAAGCAAGCTGCGATCTGATCTGATCGGCCTTCAGTAGCCGCAGGCTTCTACACAGAAGTCTTGCTCAAAGCTGTCTGGGATTTGCTGTAAGTTGTATCAGAGAGTCCGCTCTTACTGAGCTGAAGACCACCAGAGAGAGAAGGGGGCTGCCTCAGCTCCCTGGCTAGTTTCTGCTGAGGGCAAAGGTCTCCGACTGGGTGATTTGGTCCAGCCGAAAAGCAGTTTAACAAACCCTCAAAAGGAAGTGCTTTATTAAAAGGGGGATTTAAAAAGCTGAATGGGGTTAACAGTAGGGTGCTAGAACCGGCTCTCGTTGCTAAAGTCGACTTTGCAAATCTCTGCCCAAGTCTGTGTTCAGTGACATTTCACTGATAGCTTGAAACTGACCTTGGTGCCAGTGTTTACACCATGGAAATTGACAGATGCTGTAAGTAAGTAGGTGTCTCCCCAGAGAGCCACCGTTAAGCATTTCCGGCACACCTCTGCCCGCAGAGTCGTGCTACTCAAAATGTGGTCCACAGATAGATGTCGATTCACAAAGTATTTGATGGGTGTGTAGTGAGATACAGTGTGAAAACTGAGAGTAAGCTTTTCGACACTTGTATAGCAATTTCACAGAATATTTTGTTGGTTGAACCTACAAAAAACCGTGGGCTTGTTTTTTGTGCACCTGGGTTTTTTTATTTTCCTTTTTCTAATAATTCATTTTTATTGCATTTTACCAAAGTATTGATCTGCAACAGATTGGGCATCAAACAAACACTCAAACAAACCGGTCCCTCACCAGAGACGCTTTGAGAAGCACTGATAACGGTGCACCTGCAAATCCAGTGGACAGGGCAGAGGCGCTGCACGTGAGGTTAAGAACTTATTAGCGAGGTAACGGGAAGTTACAGGCTGCTTCAGAAAGCAAAATGATGTGAAGGGGCCAGAAGAGAAAAAAAGAAATGTGGAAGGACCTAAACGTGGGACACAAAGGGACTCCTGCACAATACAGGATGGGAAGAGCGGACTTGTGGTTTTAACAGAAGGTAATCTATTTCTATGAAGGTGTGTATGACTAGAAGTCTGATTTCCAGAACACTGGAAGGATCATTGTGCTGCATTTCATTCTGGACCCTTCTCTTTAAGGGGGGAATTGCAGGGTGCTCCGAGGAGACAGAAACCATAGGTTATAAGGAGTGGTTTAAGAAAAGGGGATGTTTAGTTTTCCAGAGGATGAAGACAGAGGGGTTTTCAATTGTTTTGAAGGCTACTGTGTAGAGCATGGCATGCACTTGTTCTTTGTGAGACTCCGTGGGAAATCATAGAAGTAAAAGCTCAGGGAGGCATCAAGAATAATTCCTTAGTAGTCAGGTGTCCAAAGACTGACTATGGGGACCTCACCGGGAAGTGAGCTCCCAGTCCCTGGAGGAGTTCAAGCACAGACCAGCTCATCTTTTGGCTGGGAAGTTATTGAAATTGTACCACCATCTTGAGGGGACCTGAAGTAAATGACAAGATTTCTTTCAAACTGGAGCTCCTGTGGCTTTATGAATATAAATAAAACCTAGAAAATAATTTGAGAAAAGACGCATTGAGAACGATACTAAATAGAAGGAAGCCAAGAGAGGAAGCCAGGGAGAGCCTCCAACAAGGCTGTTTGGTAGCAGTGACGAATGTTCCGGCATCCTGGGAACGCATTTTGGCACAGAGGAGGCAGAACTGCTAATAGAGAGGTTTGCTACTGCTGCTTCCAGTCAAGCGGGCCCAGGAGTTCTGAGCTTACAATGAATAGCGGAGGTTGTGCTCCGCAGGGTGGGGTGCTACACAGGCTGGACTCCCCCACCAACACCAGACAGATCCCTGGTCCGGGCTCGAGTCCTTCACAGGACAGAAGCACAAACCCAGGTGAAAACAAAGACGATGAGATGGAGAATCAGTGCAGACACCTGATGCGCCATTAGATCAATCTCGTCACCAGGGAGGAAGGAAGAACACAGCGTGCTAAGAATTTAACAGACATGGTCCTAGGACAGGAAGATCCCACTACCGGCATTTGTTTGATGGTAAGACTGAGGCTCAGAGCAGATTACTGACTTCTCTAAGTCACACAGCTACAAAGTGGGAAAGTTAGCATACTCAGGGCTCCAAATCCCACCTCTTTTCATTCACCCAAACCACCTGTATTTATCCCCCCATTAAACCTTCCATTTAAACACCTTGTCCAGTTAAGCATAACGCTTTCCATGAGAAACTGCTCCCAGAACAGTACTTGGTGCCCTGCAGGAACTCCTCAAAGGTCTGGAGAATGAATGAATTTGGAGTGGTCAACAAGGGGTGCACCAGCTGCAACTTTAAAAATACGGCAAAAAACGAGAAACTCCACAAAACAAACTACACATGGAAAAATGGCTCCGTTTTCTCAAAATATTTACAGCTTAACATTTACAGGCCACCCAAAGTGTGGTGGCCAGTGGTCCGTGCCCTGCCGGCCCCACGGGGAGAAGGCGAGATGAGAGGGCTGTTGGGGTGGGGAGCCGGGTTTCTCCTAGCCTGCTCTCCGGGTTAGTTTTGGCTCAAGGGACGTGGCTATGAGAATGACTTCCACCAAAGGCACCCTCCTCCACGGAAACCACAAAGACTGGCAAACCTTTTCTCCATCGAAGTAGAAAAAAGCGTGCTTGTGTGAGCGTGCAGGAAGAGGAGAGGGAATGTGGACAGAGAGGGAGGGGTGGTGTAATAACTCTTGTAGTCATAAGACTCGCCAGTTGGTAGTTACTTGTATTCCAGACACTTCCTAATGCCAGACAAATGCCCCAAGCCCCGGCATGTCTGGCTCCGAGATCTATTGAACTGATAGCAGCCGGCTCTTGTGGGGAGAACAGATCTCTCAGGGAGCCGTGCTCTGCAGCTAATCAAACACGACATTGTTCTCGGAAGGAAGAATGGAAACATTTGTTTCAGAGTCACAACTTTTTTTTTTTTTAAAGAGGCACCCAAGTTATTTTAACAAGTTGCTACAAACCTTGGGCTCCCTGAGGTGAGGCTCTTGCATACAGTGCATGTACTGTACCAAAATCCAGGGAGGGAGGGATCAGAGAGTTAGTCATTAAAAAAGAAAAAAAGCCCCAGGCACTTCATGCCTGGAAATGATGTCAGACGCAGCCACTCCTCTGTAAGAACTACAACCAAACAATGCTCGGGCGATCCGCGCAGCTGCTCGCCAAATGTCAGCGCCAGCTCGGTCCAAAGAGCTTGAAAGCCACCAAGCTGACGCTGTGTGCTGTACCTTTTTCGCCCACATTTTCCCCAAGCACTCTCAGGAACCTGGCAACAGGTAACGTGGCAACCTTTGCTTGTAAAATGGCAAGCAGCATAATTTCAGAGAACAAATGGATTTTTTTAAAGCCAGCTGCCATCTCCCCCACGACCTCTCCCCCAACATCCCAACCGAAGGGCTGAAAAAACAAAATATTACCGCTGGCAACCCTACTCTCGAGTACCCCCTGGTGGCCAATCTCGGAACATCACTGATGTACCTTGAAATCGCTGCTCAGCTCCAAGGTAAGTCAGGCTATGGAAAGGGGTGGACATCTTTGCTGCATTGTCTTCCAAAAAATATAGAGAGTGGAAGTCAAGACTCAGAATGTCTTGCTTTTTAACTTATCACCTTAACAGAAATTTCACCCTAGCTGCAGGATAACATCTCTGGGTTGAGGATGCCGATCTTTTTTTTTAAGCAGCAGCTAGGATCACATTTTTTGTTTGGTGACAAGTTGAAAAGCAAGAGCTGCTGTAGCCGTTTGGTTAGGCGGATGGCAGTGAGGATTGATAGGCAAGAAACTGAGGATTCTCACTGGGTGGGACTGCATTTTCATTTTTATCTGAATTTGTAGGTTGTATGTACACAGAAAACTTTTTTCTCTCAGGTAGCAGCATTTCTAATATGCCTAGCCAGCTTCCAGTTAGTCTGTTTGCAAGGATTACTTAGGATTTCCCAACTGCAGGCCTAGCTTCCTGGAGAGCATGCCTTGCAGCCCCACCTTGGCTCTTTTATCTCCGCGTGGGGCAAACACACCGAGATGCCAAGGGCAGGATCTCTAACCAGTCTTCCTCCTCTCACTGCTCCTTCGTCTGAGCCGTCTCTGATTTGGAGGAATGACCACAGTTGTGAGCTGTTGGTAGCTCCAGCCAGTCACAGGGACATCTGTTCTTTTTCCCTCTCTGGAAATGTTAACTGGAAACTAAGAAAGAGCTTCAGATCAAAGTAACTGTTCTCTTCAGAAAGTTCCATTAATTAACCAAATTAAAGGAAGTTAAATGATGTTTAGAGGAAAGTCATTTTAGAAGGCCCAGGTCCAGGGACTGAGGTCTAAAGCTTCTAATGTGGACTTTTAATGAAGCTTGGCAACAAGTTACATAATAATAGAAATTGAGGGTTGCGTATCTAAAACCAGTTGTTGCCCGAAATCAATCATTTGAGAACATCTTGAAAGGAGACAGACATTTGGCTAGTATTTGCCTAGACCATTTAATACTAAAGATGAAAAACCTGGGGCTCTGAGTAAGAATCATTTGACCAGACGCTAAGGTGAGTCATAGTCTTCATAGAACAGGCACAAATGTTGAAGTCAGGATGTTGAGAACACCAGGCTTACTAATTTGCAAGGCACGGCTGTTGCTTCCAGTGGGGAATGCCATCAGGATTTCACGGCTCATTTTCCCCGGCCTTTCCAACAGGTGCTACTGAGTCATCCATGGACACAAGTGACTGCCCTGGCAGTTCCGTCTGTTAGGATTAAATTTCCATTTGTTCCATTACTTTATGAAGTGATTTCTAACACTGAATCAGATATATCACTTCCTCTAGGACCTAGGGATTTTTTTTCAATGTTTGTAATATTTCTATGTTTTTCAAAATTTGTCCCAGCCAGGTCTGCAGGTCTTCCTGGGTTGAATGGACTGTTTACGGCAGGGGAAGATTCAGGGCCCAAGGTCAGGGTTACAGAATTATATAAGGTTTCCTGTTTGGGCAGCTGCTCTACCAACTCCTCAGGTTAGGGCGGACGAGGTCTTGTTGAAAGACAGCTTGCCCAGGAGGCCTGGAGTAGCAATGGGTGCCAGGAGTGGGGCAGGACATTTTTCTTTTAAGCTTCTCATCAACCAGCTTTCATTTCTTGTCAGATGTCACTTCTAAGCAATACTTTCCTACGTTCTCTGTTAGGTGAATTTCTTTTTTCTTGACCACCCTGAGAGAAAAGAGTTAGTTACGGATGTAAGAGTCACAAGGTCAGGCACAGCTGTCTATTTTATTCATGATACAGCCACAGTACTTAGAACACGCATGACACATAGTTGTGCTGTGGTAAATACTTGTTACATCAAGGAATGAACAGGGATGAGAAGAGACTTCCTGGAGAAAACGAAAAAGGGACTAATAATCAGGAAAAGGAGGTCACTTGGGTAGAAGTAAAAAGCCATTCTCTGTGACCTTGGATGTTGCAATATAGTCTGTCACCAATGCCTGCTTCTGATGGCTTTGGCCAAGAGCAGTTGTGATTGGCCAACTTTTCACATGGAGCTGGTATGTGAAAGTCCAGCCTAACATCAGCTGAAACCAGCTGGTCCTACAGCTTATCCACCTAATTCCCTCCATCCTCGCTGCTTGGCTTTCCCCATGGGCACTGAGCAAATGGCCATGTGAAGGACCCATGATGCTAAATGCCCTTTCCCAGAGCAGCTGCCTTTCTTCTCCTTAGTCCCTTTCACTCTTTATTATTCTTTGCTCTGTCCGCTTATACAAGATGGGTACCTGAAAGCCAAGAACTTTCTTTACCTCCTGGTCTCACTTCATGAGAATTAGTATCACCTGCACAATGGGACCTGGAGCCTGGAATACAAGGAAGAATCTGGATTGGAATCAAACAACCAAACAGGAGGACTCTCACACCATGTCGCTGTGAACAAAGCAGAACTCAAGTGTACCTAAGCGCGAGGCTGTCAGAGTAGCTGACTGTCTCTAGATGGGAGCAAGGTATCGGGCACACACATTGCCAACTTGTCCTCCTTGAGAAAGTGAGATGCCTGTGCAGGGTGAGTGGCCTGTGTGTAAAGCAGGGGAGGTCTCACCTAATGAGAGTCCAGTCAGGCTCTGTCCTAGGTGAAACTCCAGGCTGGGTTCATCAGTAACCTGCTCACTGGCAGACGCTCTGGGCTTTGGAGAGTGAGCAAAGCAGCCCGAGGCTGCTACCCATGGGACACAGTGCCTGGAGGGAGGGCTTGACCCTGAGCAGAAGCTTTCGCACAAGGCAAACTCAAACCCCCAAACCTGGGAAAACAGGATGTGTGGGGAAGCAGAGAAGCAAGAAAATGCATCCACCATTCCTTCCTGTTGGTTTCAGGATGATGAGGACTAATTACCTGGGTCTGGAGAGCAGGGCACGTGGGAGGCCACAGGAGGCCCTGGTCTGTGTAGTTACGCAGTTAATTATTCATCCTACTCCTTTCCTCTGTCCTCCCTCAAAACCCCCTTTTCAAAAGAAAAACAGGAAAAACATCTGGATTAACCTGTGGAATACTGTTTTTTATCAGCCCACTTGCCCAGGAAGGATACCAGCCCCTTATTAACAATCAAATAACAAAATCGGCACTTTAAAATGATACCTCATTATCCAACTGTGTCCCTGACAGATGAGGACACCCATCTGGAGAAGAACCTGTCCAGGTGTCCCCCAGGGCTCTTTCTGTCTGCACCACCCTGCAAACACAGTTCAGCCTTCACAGTTAGTATGTACAGGGCCACTTAAAGACTGCACTAAAAATTCTACTTTACAATTGGCTTTTTGTCATTTGCCAAAGTTAAATAAAAATAACCTAGGAAATTGACGAGGCCAGCACGAAACTATCATTTTACTCTGTCCCCACCATTGTCTTCACTCATTGCCTTTAATAAAGCCACCTGCTGTACCTATAATCCCAGTTCCGCAAGTGATAGGAGGCTGGAGAGCGTGGGTTGCCCATGTTCTCCAGAGTGGAATCCGACTGGAACCTGGTTCTTCCCATCTAAGCCCCCTACTTATCTTACATAGAGCTGCCTTATACTTCTGACTTAAGATTCTCCTTTGAACCCTTGTGAGAATAATATCTGCGTCCAAAGCCTTATTTGAATCTCTTAATCAAATGTGCTTGGAATTCAGAACTTTTTGGATTGTAGAAAGCTAATATACATGACACACCCCAGGGGTCTGGGGCAGCACCCCTCAATCACGTGCCCTGACCTGTCTGTCTGCAGGAAGAGGAAGAAGAGTCACGCTGCAAGTAGTTGCAAGGTCAGGTTTAGGCCAATGGCTTTCGGAATTTCAGGAGAAGGAATGACGTCCACCCACTCCTTCAGATGCCGTGGAGCAGGAAGCGCTCCCACTGGAGACTTCCTCCTTCAGAGGCATCTCAGGTCCTGGAATCAGAGCTGTGTCCCAACCAAGCCCATGTGGAGGATGACAGATGGGTGCTGACAAGGTAGTGGTGGGCTTGGCATTGTGAGTGGGCAAGCTTTCTATATGTTTAAGGAAAAGAGGAATCCAAGATCAGATTTGGTCATGCGTCTGACATTGTCTCTCTTTCCGTGACTGTGTTGGAATTCTGGGTGTTCAGACAGTGTGCTTCATACACCGTACTCAGAACATCCTTTTTGGGTTTTGTTGTAATGGTAATAGGGGTGCTAGTAGGGGCTTTTAACTGGCTTCTTCCCTCAAGGTGGAATGACGTTTATATAAATTACAGAATGGGGTAGTCTGATGTGTTCTTCTGGATAAACACTTCATATTTGCAAGGTTGTGTGTGTGTGTGTTTTTAATTCCTCCTTTTCATCCTTCTCTTCCCTATTCTCAACCCCTACCTTCAAGCTATAGTCTGACTCCACAGCAAAATAACCAAAACCAACCTTTCTTTGGCCCCACTGTAATTTGTACTGACAGGCGGGTGGCTCTGTGCTGGGTCCAGGCAGGGCACCGTGCTAAGTTGATGCAGCTCAGGACACATCAGCCTTAAAGTTTATCTGCAAGGGCGCTCTTCACGCATTAAAGCACCATCTCGTACACACAGTGCGAAAATCATTTTCAAAATGTGCGTTTTTATACCACATTTCCAGCCTAAAAGATAATCGAGATATACTCCACGTAACATAGCTCGAATGAAAGAATCAACCGATGTGTGAGTAGACATGTTCGTGAACTGCAGACAGGAGATCAAGCACCAGAAAGCTCTACTATCTCAAGCCAGCAATGAGCTGTCTCCTGGTATGGATAGCATTCTACTTGTCAAAAGTAACCACGGAAAGTAAAGTCTCTACAATTGATTACTTTGGATTTCTACTGTCATAAGGAAAGGGTTTTATTAAGCATCAACTCTTTGAAAGAGACACTATACCCACTGCAAATCGGCTGAGCCAGAGGATGTTAAAATATCCCGTTTGCTGTGTTTGGGGCTGAGGTTGGAATTTCATGTTCGTTTTACGGGATTGCTGGTGGTTGCAATTTACACTGTGCCTAATTATGGTTGCGATACAACTGCTGAAGTGCGAAGGTGCAGGAATGCGGAAGAGCTAGAGGAAACCAGCGCTAGTCTTTGGATCAAAATTAACCACAAAATTAACTGCCAATAAAGAGTTGGGAAATGGATCACACGGAAGGGAAGTCTGTGGATGGCCGCTGCTCAAAGGTTCAGCTACTTTGCAGTGGCCGATAACCTTGTCAGGTCTCCAGATAAAGGCACGTCTTGTCACCCTCCAGCACCTGGCTGAGAGGTAATAAAACGGTTGCCTTATCTGCTAAGGGTGGAGTTAGTCAAACCTCAGCCCGGGGTAATTATAAACTGAAATTGCCTGTCATTTGCAAAAAAAAAAGGGGTGGAAGGGAGAAAGGAAAAGAGCTTCAGGCAGGAAATTGTGTTTGTCGCTCTCCTTGGATTTTAAAAAGAAAGTAAGCAAAACAGCAAGAAGTTTTCCAGGGAGTGAGAAAAACAGCCAGGCTCGGCTGCCCTCTCCCGGGGGGACAGGATGGCTGACAGCTCAGGCCTACGTGACAGTCTAGTAAAGAGGCTCAAGCTGATGAAAAGCCAAGAAATCTTCTTAGGAGCCTTCCTTTCTAAATGTAAATGACTGAGTCAGGGCTTTGCTAAGGAGGGAAGGAAGTGAGAACCACACCGAGTGACTCATTCAGCGCTGTTAGCTCCGGCAGTTGGATAAAAAGTTTTAGCAAAAGCAGCAACAAATCTACTTTAAATACTAGCACAGTAAGGAAATTCCTCGCTTTCAGGCTGAATGCCATCCACACAAAGGAGCTCCTGTTGACATCTCATTTACAATCTCCCCCAGGACACAGATGAGGCCATTTCAATAAACCCGGCTCAGAAACACCTATTGTTCAAAATCTTCAACTAGCAACAGGCTACCACCACTCCCTATTGTTTTGTAAAATAAAAGATTGAGAAGGAGAAGGATTGGGACTGTGGAAGCCAAGAAAAGAGGAAGGGAAAAAAGTCCCTTTGACCTGATGCTGTTGGAGAGCGTGCACGGAGGATAAAGTTAATGGATTTCCATTTTTATAAGGAGTGCATAAGAAATGCCGTTTACATTTCTGAACTAGTGGTTGTGAATTCTAAGTTCGATGCCAACCTTGAGTGTAAAGAAGCCAGCTCCGGCCAACAGGTTTGGTCAGTGAAAAGCCAGAGGCTACCCTTACCCTAACCTCAGCCTTACAAAAGCCCTGACAGCAGCCGCAGCAAAGCTGCAGGTGAGTCTTTGATCTGGGCTGTTTCCCCGGGATTTATAGCCCAACTTGCCTTCTTTCCCAGCAGAATTTTCAGACTCAGCACACAGCCCGTGCCTCTCCGTGAGTGATTTCCTCCTTTCCGCTGCCACCATTTTGCTCCTTTTAGTAAAACTTGAACACTTTCTGGAGTTATGTAATGCAGTCCTTCGATGGTTTTTCTTCAGATATGCCTCAAACTAAGGGATATATTTGCGTTTACCAAAACCCCCACAATTTACCAAAAAGCTCACTGGCATTTCTCAAGTGCTCAGTGTTTTTACCCTCCTAATAGGTCTTCCAGTTAACATCTCCTATCTCAGCAAATGACACCTTTATCTCCCCAGAGTTCAAGCCAAAACTCTGGGCATTATCTCTGATTCTTTTGGTTCCTTCTCTCCTCGCTCTTAAATTCCTCTGGACTCATTCCACATCCTTCTGTCTATCTTTCTGTTTCCCTAGATCCTATTATCTCCTCTCTGGAGGATCACAGCCATTTCCTAACACAAAGTTTCTCAAACTACCAGTTGAGACTTAATAATGGGTCCTCGGATCAATTGAGGTGGGCCGTGTCATTTCACCATTTAAAACATGAAATAGATTAGAAAATGTCAGAGTGTATCCAACAGAAAAAGTAAATGTTGTTTCACGAAACTCATTTCAGCGTGTGTTCAGATCTCTAGACATTCTGGGCAGAAGGTAAAATGTATTTTGTTTTTGGAGATTGGACTGGTGGTTACCATTGGGGAAGGGGGGAGGGGGGAGGGCAAAAGGGGTGATTAGGGTCACATGTGAGGGGATGCACTATAATTAGTGTTCGGGTGGTGAACATGATGTAATGTATCCAGAATTTGAAATATGATGTACATCTGAAAAAAATTAAAATTAAAAAAAAAGCTAAGAAAAAAAGAAAAAGGAAAAAAATGTATTTTGTTTGTCAAAATACTTTGAGAAATACGTTTCTAATTGGTCTCACTGGGCTGTCTTGTCCCTGCTTCCAAATGGACGTGCACACTTAGAGCGAGAATTAAAGACGCTGAACAGACCCCGTGCCTCCAGCGACAGGTCTGCCCCGGGACGCAGCCTTGCACCTCGGGAGCTCCTGGACACCTCAGTTCCTGCTCCTCTTTCAGGTCTCAGAACTGTACGTCTTCCTAACCCCTTTTACCTTCAGTTATTCAAACCGTCAAGTTCCCCGCCTTTGCAAATGGCTTTCCCTCTGTACAGACAGCCCCTCCTCTCTTCAGGTATGAGCTAGGTGTCACCTCTTCCAGGAAGACTTCTGGAATGTCCTTCTAAATGCCTCTCCTAGTGCTCATTAGAGTGTTCCATGTTTTATCTCACAGAGCACTTATTCCATTATAATTATCTTCTTAATTCCCTACTAGACTTTAAGATCCAAGTGGGCATTCAGTGAATATTTGTTGGATAAATATTGTGCATCGAATGTTTCACATCTTACGCAGTTCATATTTCCTTCCTACAAACCAGTTTGGATAGTTATTATAAAGGATCTTATCTCTATTTCTCAAAGCTTTAGTTTTCATTGTTTTACACTTCAATATCTCGTGTTCATTTGCTTTTCAAATATACCCTAATTAATTTTCAAACCCACTGGACTCCACTTAAAAATCAAAACAATACGATTTGGAGACAGCTGTTGGATTTCTGGCTGGTCACTGACCTCTCTGAATCTCAGATTTTTCATATATAAAAGGAAGGGCAGAACTCAATGATCTCTAAGCTCTCTTCCAGCCTGCTACTCTGAACTTTCTCCTTTTAAGGACCAGAGAGGTTAAATGACTTTCCCAAGGTCAAACAGCTTTTCAGTGGCAGGATATTGTTTGCCTTTCTAAAGATTTTTGACTGCAAGCAGCAAACATAAAACAAAAATGTTTCCTGGAAACTGATAGTGCCACTAACAAGTTTGTGTGAAAAAGAATCATAAAATTAAAGAAAAAGAGGACTTAAAAAAAACCCCAAAACCCAACAACATACATAATGGATTCCTGCCTAGGCAGGTGCCAACATTTTTAAAAACAGTCTCACTACTGTTTGTTATTAGATGGGGAGATGTTCAGATTTCCTCTTAAAATTAGAAGTGAAAAATTAAAGAATTTTGCACATCCTGACCCCTTGTAGTGGCCATTCCATGGAGGCACAAGGAGCAGATACAACCTTCCTGAAGGTGCCAACGAGAGCATCCTTCTGCTGAGGCCCTGGGACCCTGACCCAGCCTGACTCTCAAGAAAAAAGCTGTAATTCACCAGGATGAGATCTGGCCTCAGATCATGTAACCCTCCCCCATCCCTCCCCTGCCAGAACTTTCGGAAGAAGTCCCTGCTATCAAGGACAGGCTTGCGTCATTTCCTTACGTTACAGAGTTTGGGTTTAGATAACCTACTCTATAAAGTAGAAAGCCAACAAACAGAAATACACCCCGTTAGGGAAAAAAGGAAACAAAAGTAACAGCGATATGACTTATTTCTTTTTCCTAATGTGATATGTTGTACTCTATATTTATAAGCCAGTGTATGCATTTGTTTTTTGCATTTTTCCCTCTAGACCGACCAGCAGTAGCTCGCCTTTGTTTGACAGAAAATTATGCTAAAAAGACATTGACACTGAAGTGAATTCTTACTGAAGTACATTTTATTTGTCTCTCCTGACATTTTCACACCTAACAACTTAGCGTTTCCAGAATACTATCTTTTACACATCTTTATGCCCGTGGCAAATACTGTTGTTTGCTTTCTCATGACCGCCCTCCTTGCTAACGAGACCTCAGTGCTGTTGACTTTTCCAGGCAGCCATGACTTTTCCGGGAAGTGGGCCCCTCCTCGATTCGGAGGATGAATCTTCACTGGTATACGAGACAAAGGGATGGGAAAGGAAGTCTGATGGGAATGCTTCTGGGAAGGTTACTTCCTTACTTAAAGCAACACAAGGCAGGGACATCACTTTTCTTCCTCTGGACATTGTCCTCAGCAAGAGACGGCCTGAACTGGGGCTGCCATGGGGGGACCACAGAAGCATCGGCCTAGGAAGACAAACCCACACTGAGGATAATGGTGGAGAGATGGAAAAAAGCTGGTTTTGATAAATTTGTTGGCTGCCTTACCTCTAGACTTCCTATTATTTGACAAAATAAATGCCTTTACCATCTAAGTTGCTTTGATTTTATTTTTAAAATTTTACTTATTTGTTTGGCTTGGCATTTACACGACGACTTTAAATATGCTACGTGTCTTTCCTTTCTTGGAAAACTGTTTCGTTCATCAAGATTCACTTCATTTGTTTTCCATTAGCACCTCCTACGTGTATTTATGAGAGAACCCATCACACTTGTTATAATCCCGTTCCAATGCTTTTGAATGAAAGGGGAGGAAAATTAGTGATCAGGTAGATCTTTATTTATTACTCTACTTACATGTTGGATTCAATGATTCTATATGGCAAATTCTATTACACAAGGTGTTATCAGAGCAAATTTTCTTTATTTCAAAGAGATTCTTACCCTTGGTGGCCCAACTTCCTTCAGTACAAATCCTGACCAGCCAATTACAGGCCGCGTGACCTCAGCTGATTCAACTGTCTTATCCTGTTTCCTTATCTATTGAGTTAGAGTGATGACATCGATGATCTCACAGTGTGATGACATGAATGAAGAAGTTACTATAGTGTAAGGTGACACACTGTGGCACTTATATATGACACACAGGAAGTGGGCTCTTTTCCTTTTCCTCTCCTTCCCATCGTATTAATTGATACAACGAAATTCAAATATTACGAAAACCATCCTGAAAACTCCCTGAGGGGATTTTCCCTGAGAGGGGAAATTATATCCTTTTCAGATGTTTGGGTTTCTGCAGCATGAAGAGCCCTGCAGGAATGTTACATGTGTAAGTTCACATTTTAGGATGCCTTTCCCTTGTGTTTAATATTAAAACTTCATCTTATCGCTCTGGTCTCAACTTACAAGTCCTCCCTTTAGAGAGGCCTTCCTTGCCCACCCCACTTCGAGCAGTCCCACACTCTCCCACCTCAGCCCTGTAGCCGCCCACTGATAGGAGGAGATGCACAGAGAAAACAAAACTGGCCACGAAGGTGTTGTATCTTTTATAAGTGAAAGCACTTCCCGAGGGCGGGCCGTTGTGGCTTGCCCATTCGCTCTTCAGCTAAATCCTTACCAGTTTTGCTCCACTCTACCCCATCCCAGCCTCCCACTGCTGCTGTCTCCAGATGGCCCGCATTGGGGTTCAGCAGCCTTCCCTTCCCCCATGACCGCAGCCCTATGGAGTCTTTTCAACGTCCTCCCCTTAAATCGCACAACAGGACTGGCTCCGAGCCCTGCTGTCCTGAACCTTGGAAAAGAAAAACCTGCCACGAATTTCTAATGTCTTGCAGGATGGATCCCTATCAGTGGTTTAAAACTATTTCATACTCTATCACCCTTCAGTTCAGAAAAGACAAAACAAAAACAATATTACATATTTCAGAATGTAAGTTCGGAAGGAAGACCATGATTTAAAAGTGTGTTACCAGGGAAGTTGCTTAATCTGTTTAAACATCAGTTTTTTCCTATGTAAAATGAGGATTAGAACACCTTCCTTATAGGGTTATTGGGAGGATGAAATGAAGTAAAGATGAGACATACTCAGCATGTTACCTGACCCATAGTAAGTGCTCAATAAATAGGATACAGTAACAACACCAACATCAATAATCCCATGAGGGAAATCCCTTCGCTGTGTCTTAGCAACTACTAAGCCAGGTGCACCGTGGTCCTGTGCAAAAGGCCTGCAAGACTCTGAGGATATAGTTCTTACGAAGGGCATCAGATGATGCCATCCCATCTCCATGGCAACCGGATGTCTCAATTCTCTGGCGTAGTGCCAGGTAGGCGGTAGGTGATGAAACAAACAATCTCAGACTACAACTTTGTTCAGTACATTGACTGGCGGTGTTTGTGTTATAGACACGCAAAATTCTGATTTCATGTGACTTTTTACATTCATAGTTTCAGTCATAAAAGTACTTCTGAAACATTGACCATCTCAAACACATTTTTATTTTTTGTTATGCCCAGATGTTTTTAAAAAAAAGCTTTTTTGCTAAATATCTCTCAAGATCTGTCATTTTAGTCCATTTTTCTGTGACTAATGTAAGAGGGATTTGGTTAGGAAGTATGTTGTCAAAAAACTTGGAGCTTAAGTGAAATGCTGGTAGCACTTTATTTTATAAGTGGTATTGGATATACAATAACCAGAGGCAGCCCTGGTGGCCTAGTGGTTAAAGGTCGGCACTCTCACTGCTTCACCAGCCCATGTTTGGTTCCTGGGTACCGAACCACACCACCACGTGCCATGCTGTGGTGGCAGCTCACATAGAAGAACTAGAAGGATTTACAACTAGGATATACAACCATGCACTGGGGCTTTGGGGAGGGGAAAAAAAAGAGGAAGATTGGCAACAGATGTTAGTTCAGGGTGAATCTTTCCCTGCAAATAAAATAAAATAAAATGAAATAACCAAAACCTTTCTCAGGAAAAAGGGTCAGCATTCTGGAGAAAGGTGTGAAAAAACAATGCTGGTTGAAAGGGTCCAGTGCCTGGGACACTTAGGAAGTATGAACTTATAAATGAAAGGAATATCTGGATGAGTCAAAAATTCTTAGAATTCCAGGTCTACAAGAGAGTAGGCCTGTGACGTAGGGCAATGTACTTAACTATTCTATGCTGCTGCTTTTTTTTTTTTTTGAGGAAGATTAGCCCTGAGCTAACATCTTCTGCCAATCCTCCTCTTTTTGCTAAGGAAGACTGGCCCTGAGCTAACATCCGTGCCCATCTTCCTCCACTTTATATGTGGGACGTCTACCACAGCATGGCTTGCCAAGCGGTACCATATCTGCACCCGGGATCCAAACCGGCAAACCCCGGGCTGCTGAAGTGGAACGTGCGCTCTTAACTGCTGCGCCACCAGGCCAGCCCGTATGCTTCATTTAATAACAATCCGTAGAATGGGACAATAAGTGTAAGACGGTTGTTACAGTGAACAGTAAAGAGGTAGCCCTTTGTAAATTGCAAAGTGCTCTGCAGGCGTTATACCAGCAGCAGCAACAGCAGTAACAGTCACAGATGTTACTTTTTTGGGAGCCAGCTGAGAAATTTTTCCAGACCACAATTCTTCCTGGAGCAGCATTAATCAAGCTGGCTTTTGGTTGAATTGAGTCAGGGTTCTGGCCATTCCACAAAATATTTTATAAAATCTGCATAGAATTGCAAATTTAGGCTAAATGGGAGGAGGAAATGCTGTAAAAAATTAATTGGGCCAAAGGGGATGGTCTCTAATCATCAAATTGCACACTTCCCCTCCAAACTGCCCTCAAAATACTCATGATCCTTGATATAAAAATAACATGGTGACAAATAGCTGCATTAAAAAGGAACAATTCTTTCAACGTAGTTTAGGGTGAAGCGAAGTAGATTTTAAAAGGGATTGGAGTCAAACATAACTTGGAGAAGAGACAGAAAATCTTTTAAAATTATGTGTAAGTAGAGTTGATAATTTTGGTGATTTCTGAGTAAACGAGTAGAAAAGTTGGGACTGGAAGGTCTAATGTTACCATATAAGCGCCAGTGGGGGTCTCTGTTTTCTTGAATACAAGCTTGCTGCTGCAGAGAAAGAGTTCAGATGCACCAAATAAATAGGCTCCAGTAGGATCCTGCTGGAATTTGGAACAGGGAGGAAAGCGAGGCCACAAGCAGATAATCTCTGGGAGCTGCTGGAGGATTGGCCTTGGAAACATCTAGGTGAGGAGAGAAAAACTCCAAGTGGCGTTTGGCGGGTGGGAGGGAGGAGGCTGGAGTGGAGATAGCGAGTCTGGCGGGAGGAAAGGGAGGCGATGGATAACGGAAGGTCAAGAAAACATTTTCATCGCTTTGTCTGAGGCAGAAGCCGTGCTCAGCACAACTGCAAAGTAGGTAAACTTTCTTGAGTCTCTCTCTCCGTAGGCGATCAGAGATCTGCTGCCATCCTGCCCTTCCCCACTCAGCCAATTCCAAATTTACTGGATTTCTTCTATTCCCTTAGGTACTTGCTCTTTAATAGGTAAAAATCTAGCTAGTCTGATAAAGGAATGCACTGGGGGGCCGGGGGAGATGGCGTTTTCAAAAGAATTCTTGCAAAACTTTCTTCCCTCAAGAGTAACAAATAGGTATTTTAAAAAGGGATCCCTGTAAAGTCTGCCTTAATTCTAAGGAGTGTCTAGAATCAGGAACTTCTGACACTGCTAATCGACTGATAGTGGCAGCAAACACCTTTCTGTGGCTCTCAAATCATAATTAAGCCTGGAAAGAAAAGAAATACATTTTATACTTTATTATAGGCATGGAATTGTGCTAAGTACGTTTTACACAAGATTATCATTTTACAGATTTGGAGATGGAGGTAAAGTTCAGAGAGGCTGGCAGCCTGCCCATTGGCTGAGGGCATCTTCCAAAGGTGCTGCCAGAAAATCTTCCATCCAACATGTTCTTCAGCAAACCCTTCTATAGAAAGATGTACAGTAAGCACTTTAGGCCTTGGGGACCATGCAGTCTCTGTTCCAACCACTCAACCCTGCCATCGTGGCAAAGCCAGAGACAATATGTAAACAAACAGGCATGGCTGCTGGGGATGGTGAGCCAGATGTGGCCAAGGGCCATAGTTTGCCAAACTCTGCTCTAGAACTTGGCCACTCCCCATCAAGAGGTGGAGTCTATTCCCTTCCCCTTGAATCTGGGGAGGTGCATGATTTACCTGTGACCAAGAGAGTGTGAAGGAAGTCACCCTGCATGATCTGAAAAGGTGATGCAAATTCTGCCTTATTCCCTGGGACAGGCATCTGCCTGGAGCCCTGAGATACCACATAAGCCGTCCAATTGTCCTAAGGATGCCATGCTGTAAGGAAGCCCACGTTGGCCATGTGGAAAGACCACACAGAGAAGCCTTGAGACTACAGGAAGATGGAGAGATGCTCCACCAGCTCCCAGTTGTTCCAGCCCTCCCTCAGACTGCAAACTTGAAAGAGGCCCTGAGCCAGAACTACCCCGCTGAAGCTCTTCCCAAATTCTTGCCCCGTGGACACTAAGAAATTATGATGTTGTTCTAAGGCACTAAGTTTTCGG